TCACAGCAGGTCAGCCAATCAAGTGAGTGTTACTGAATACTCATAGCCTTTAGGCACTAACACACCAATACATACCATGCTTTTCTCATTTTGCGTGACACTAATCAATCTGCGTTATATCATTCTGTCATTATATCAAGTTCTGGTGAACAGTTTACATCCAGACTAACCTAGTGTCCCTTCTAGTTCTAAATTCTGACTTGAGGAAAGTCTAAAACTGCCAAAGAAAAAGGAAACCATAATGGAAATTGCTAAACACTCTACAAAGCAAAGACTGCTTATCTTAAGAAAAAGTTCATGAAGTGGGTGATTTGGAAGGTTTTAACAGTTGCAGATTTTCTCCTAATACTACTATCTGTATTTTCAGAAAATGTGACTAGCACCTTTAAAAGATTAACGTGTCAGAAGAAACATCACTATAAGAAACCATCAAAAGAAAAAACAACTTTGAAATAAGAAGTGAATATTGGTTACACAACGACTTGCCAGTAAATGCTGTATCAAAGGCTATTAACCCATAACAATAAAAGAAAGGATAAAAGTGTTAAAGTAGAAAACTTTATAAATATAATATATGTCAAACACACACACACACACAAAATTAACAGTTCAACACTGAAAGGAAAAGGGAGAACTGGAGATAACTTTTTAAGTCTAAATATTTTTGAAACTTAAAACTCAGAAGTTCTTAATTTTAAATTATGAGATTATGCCTTTATTGGCATATAATCTATAGTATATTAAGAGATTATAAAGCAGAATTTTAACTAAAATCAGACTATCCAACAAGCAAGGTAAAATAGAAGTGTGTTCCCCAGAAAGCTCTGATAAACTCAGAAGACATTTCTTCCACTACATTGAGTTTACTCAAATAATGGCTGAAGAACAACAACTTCAAATAGTAGGGAAATATTTTTACTTCCCCAATTAAGAATACAAGCCCAAAAAAAGCCTATATGTAGTGAATTTTGGCAATTAGCCTTGTTTAAGCTGTGTTTAAAAGTTACATATATGTCAATGTAATTTATAGATCATTTTATTTAATCACTTTAAACTGTTATGATTCATGATTCTCAACAAGTCACTATTACAATCTACTGAAATAACTCTATGTCCACAGAAATTAAAAATATCTTCCATAAAATGACAACTGAATCTTATAAACTTTCATAGGCTCAGAACACTGGGAACACTCGTATTTAAATAAAGGGGGAAAATATTCCAAAAATGTTTTGTTATTTGAGAGACTATAAACACAGGCAGTTTTCACTTTGCCCAGTACTGATATGCATGAATTTCAGTTACCACAGTACAGTTAAATAACACCAGTCTCCCAAAAACATGATTCAAATTTCAGTTACCATTAAGAACTCTGAGTAATTACATAAAGTACTAACTTCACTGCTAGCTCTTCAGTCCACAAATCACTACATAAATAACAGATGGGCATCATGATTGGTGACCAATCACATTACTTCAAAGTCTACTGATGACTGGTCACTGTACATTTGTTACTCAAGGTCCCTGGGTAGCTCAAATGGTTTGCACTTGACTACTAATCTAAAGATTGGCAGTTCAAACTCACCCAGAGGTGCCATGGAAGAAAGGCCTGGAGATCATTTCCATAAAGACTACATCTGAGAAAACCCTAAGGAGCAGTTCTACTCTGTAACACATGGGGTCGCCATGAGTCAGAATCGACTTGATAGCAAGGGGTTTTCTACAATAATAACTCTGGTAATCATCTATGCACAGGAACAACTAAAAACGAGGTCCTTTTATACTTTTCCTAAGTATCTAAGTATTAAAAGAAGAGATTTCTTTTAATTCAGCAAATACTTATTGCAAACCAATCATTTGCCAGGCATGTGTGTGGCCCTAAGATCCAAGATGAATCATTTTATACTAGATTCTATTCAACATGGAAAATTACTTTAGCAAAGTTCCAATCTGTACTGATTTTGTCTAAAATCCAAAACAGCAAAAAGATACCACAAAACATGAAAATTCTGAGCTTTTATCAAAAGGCAAAAATTAGTAGAAATTATACACTATACTGACAAAACATAAAATGGTAGAGTTATAATAGCACCAACTACCTTGAAGTCATCAATATTTTATCCTCACAAGAACGTTTAAAAGTTGGTTTACTACCTTGGATTAGGCAAAAGTTTCTTACATATGACATCAAAGTACAAACAACAAAAGAAAAAACAGATAAATTAGATATCATCAAAATTAAAAACTTCTGTGCTTCAAAGGACACCTCAAGAAAGTGTAAGGTAACTCACAGAATGGGAAAAAATTTGGGCAAATGATATATTTGAGAAGGAATCTGTGTCTAGAATATATAAAGAATCAACTCAATAATAAAAAGAAAAATAATACAGTTTTAAAATGGGCAAAGAATCTAAATAGACATTTTTAAGTGCAATAAGCACATACAAAGATGTTCAACATCCTTAGACACCCGGGTAATGCAAATCAAAACCCCAGTGAGTTATCACCTCACATCCACTAGGATGGCTATTATAAAAAAGACAGATAATAATAATTGTTGGCAAGAATGTGGAGAAACTGGAGCCCTTATACACTGCAGGTAGAAATGTAAAATGATGCAGCTGCTTTGGAAAACAGTCCAGCACTTGCTGAAATGGTTAAACAGTGTTACCAGATGACCCAGAAATGACCTGGTGATCTGCTCCCGTAAAGATTACAGCCTAGGAACCCTATGGGGAATTTGTACTCTGTTACATGGGGTTGCTATGAGTCAGAATTGACTCAACTGCACCTAACAACACAAAAAACCTGTACACAAATGTTCAAAGCAGCATTATTTATAACAGTCAAAAAGTGAAACCAACTCATATACCATCAAATGATGAAAAGATAAATAAATATGGTATACCCATACAATGGAATATTATTCAGTCATAATAAGGAATGAAGCACTGATACACGCCACAACGTGGATGAACTTTAAAAACTTCATGCTAAGAATGGAAGCCAGTCATAAAGAATCACATATAGTATGATTCCATTTATATGAAAGGTCCAGAATAGATGAATCCATAGACACAGAAAGCAGACTGGTAGTCACCTAGGAATGGGAATTTGGGGAAATGGAGACTTACTGCTACTGAGTATAGGGTTTCCTTTTGGGTTGATGAAATGTTCTAAAATAAATTCTGGTGATAATTGCACAACCTTGTGAATATAATATAAACCACTGAATTGTACATTTTAAATGATGAAGTATGTATTATGTGAATAATATAAACTCAATAAAGTTATTTTTAAACAAAGAGTAGGTTTACTGACTTGCATTCCAGATAAGATGTATTAACAGGGACAACATTTAACCTCCTGCCTAAAACAAGTAAAAAGCTGGACAAAATACATGAAGAAATGGCTTTTCAAGACATGAGCATCATGCAATGAAGGAAAGTGATCCCTAAGAGAAGGGAAGCAAACAAAATGAGCACTACAATTGCCCAGGTATAGCCTAGCCGACTGACTATATTGAGGAGATGAAGCTGAGAGCTCAGAGAGGCCAAGGCGGCAAGAGTTACAGGAGAGTACCAGCAAAGAGAAAGCTGCACAAAGAGTGAACTATGAAAATACCTGAGGCTAGAGAAAAACCTCTCAAATGAAAAGGAGGGAACAATCCTCAGAACTCACACAGGGCCAGGAATAGTTCCTGTTCCCCACGTGCAGAATGGGGGCAAAAACTCACAAGTCATGGGGCAGACCAATAACAACAAAAGAGACTGAATTAGTAATCAAGAAACTTCCCACAGAGAAAAGTCCAGTACCAGATGGCTTCACTGGTGAATTCTATGAAACATTTAAAAGAGAATTAATATCAAGTCTACACAAACTCTTCCATAAAACTGAAGAGGAAGGAATGTTGCATAATTCATCCTATCAAATAAGCATTATTATGACCCCAAAAGCAGAAAAAGACGTTACAAGAAAAGAAAACTAAAGGTCAACAGCCCTCATAAATATAAAGGCAAAAATTAATAACAAAATTTTAGCAAATGATAATACATCATAGTCAAGTGGGGTTTATCTCAGGAAAGCGAGGTTGGTTTAATATTCCACAAACATTGATATAATTTACCATATTAGCAAACTAAAAAAAACAAAGGTATAATTTCAATAGATGCATTGAAAGCATTTGACAAAATCCAGCATCTATTCCTAATAAGAACTCTCAGTAAGCTAGGACTAGAAGGCAGTTTCCTCAATCTCACAAATTACATTTATGAAAAACCTACAGACTATATCATACTTAAAAGTGAAAGACTAAACACTTTTCACTAGGATGGGAACAAGACAATAATGTCCAATCTCACCACTCCTATTCAGCATTGTCCTGCATCTTCTAACCAGTGCAATAAGGCAAGGAAAAATGAAAAGAGGAGAGAGAAAAAAGAAAGAAGTAAAACTGTCTTCATTCACAGATGGCATGACATGATCCTCTACATAGAAAATCCAACAGAATCTACAAAACAGCTACTACAACTAGTGACTTTAACAAGGATACAAAATGAGTACACAAAGATCAATTGTCTTTCTATATATGCAAGCAACAAACAATCAGAACTGAAATTATAAAAACAGTTAACATTTAAAATAGCATCAAAAACTTTATATGCTTTAAAATAAATCTGACAAAAGGAGTACAAGATTTGAACACTGAAAACGACAGAAAAGGTACTCAATATCATTAATCACCAGGAAAATGGACATATACACGTGTCAAAACTTATAAAATTGTGTATTTCAATTACGTGCAATTTATGTTACATCAAGTGTTCTTAAAAAAGAGTAGGTTTACTGAACTCAAAACTGAAGCTGAAAGTGATAATGACTACAGTCAGTCAGTCGGTAGGAAGATGATTAAGGAATCTATCTTTTCAGGTTATCTACTTCTTTGATATGTGCTGTCGATTGATTAAATGTGAATTTAAAGGTTTTTTACAAGGTGTTACCTGTGAGATATGATTGATGGAAGACTCCATTCTCCGAAGTTGAGAGGCTTGGATGTCCAGCAACTGGAGTACATTGTTGGCCAATGCATTTATTTGATAAGCAACACTAGCTAGGGATTGGGTTGTGTAGGCTTTGGTCTCTTCTAAAGCTTTTCTCTTGTCTGTAGCCTGAAATAAGAACAAAAACAATCTATAGTCATTTAGGTTAACATTCATTAAGCATATATTTTATAGAAGGGTAGTTATAATTTTTTTTAATAGAAAAACTCAATTCAGTCAAAAAATTTACCAGATTTATCTGACAATAGTAGATGAAAACAGTCTTAGGACACTGGATTAAGCCATGATAGAAATCCCTTATCTGCCCAGTGAAACCACTCCCTCCTGACTAGCTCATCCAGTGAGGGCCACTAAAAGGGCTACTAGGTAACTGTCATTACAGTATCAGAGGCACACTGTAACAGCTGGCTTTAGCTGCCTGTTGTTGTTAGGACCCACAGAGTTGATTCATAGAGACCCTATGTACAACAGAATGAAACACTGCCCGGACCTGTGCCATCCTCCCAATAATTGTTATGCTTGAGCCTACTGCTGCAGCCACTGTGTCACTCCATCTCATTGACAGTCTTCCTCTTTTTCACTGACCCCCCTCAATCACCAACTCATTGCATGACACCTTTAGGACTTTACTGTCAGGCCCAAGCCCCTAATCTACTGATGATGATACAGACTAAGCCCATTCCACCTTATATATTCCTGTTTACCTTAATCACCAGCAGAAAGCCCACCTTCCTGTTATCCATTATGACCAAGCCTCTCATCTCCACATAAACTACTGTAAATATTATGACTCAATCCCTTGCCCACTCCTTTTTTTCCAAACTCCTGTACATATCTCAGAGTCAGGTGGTAAGAACTCCTCAAAGAGAAGCAAAGTTACAAGTGATAAATTGGGAGAGAAGGGAACTCCACAACTAATATCACAAAAGGGTAACTATCACTAATATATAATCTAAAAAATGAAGAAAAAGGCCAAGAATCCATAGGAAAAAATAAGAGATCTAACAGATAGTTTACAGAAAAAGCAATGCAGCAACTCTTAACTATTTGAAAAGATGTTCAACCTGGCTCATAACAGAAAAGAAATGCAAATGCAAACTAATATGAGATATCATTTCTCAACTATCCAACTGGCAAATATCCAAAAATCTGACAAGGTACCCACCAAAGTTAATGCGAAAGACACTCTGTTACATTGCTGGTGATATGCAGCAAAATTACATATGGGTTTACCTTCTGGTCCAGCAATCTCACTTTTAGAAATCCATCTCAAAGAATCACTAGCAAAAATACAAAAACATATAGACACAAAGTTATTCATTGTAGTACTATTTTTAACAGCAGGAGATTGAAACACCAATACAACTATCAGTAGGTGACTAGCTGAATAATCATGGAGTATTATACTGTTATAATAAGGAATACTTGAGGAAAATCTTTATTATCACTATGCCATTATCTCCGGAATACTTCTGCTGCTATTGTTGCTGGGTGTCATCAAGTCAATTCCGACTCAGAGCAATCCCATGTGACACAGTAGAACTGCACCATGGAGCCCTGGTGGCACAACAATTAAGCACTCAGCTGCTAACTGAAAGATTGGTGGTTTGAATCCCCACCCAGCGGCTCCATGGGAGAAAAACCTGGAGACCAGCTTCCATAAAGATTATAGAATATGGCTAAGGTGAAAAAAAAAAAGTGCATCATACGCCACTTTTTTAACTAAGAAAGGAGGAGATATGAAAATACGTGCATATATTATTTTAAAAGGAAAGATAAACCATAACATTAAAAAAATAATAATTACTGTCTTAGTCATCTAGTGCTGCTATAACAGAAATACCACAACTGGATGGTTTAACAAACAGAAATTTATTCTCTGACAGTCTAGTATGCTACAAGTCCAAATTCAGGGCCTCAGCTCCAGGAGAAGGCTTTCTCTGTCTGTCATCTCTGGAGGAAGGTGCTTGTCATCAGTCTTCCCTTGGTCTGGGAGCATCTGAGTGCATGAACCTCGGGTCCAAAGAACACGCTCTGCTCCCGGGGCTGCTTTCTTGGTAGTATGATGTCTACAACTCTCTGCTTGCTTCTCTTTTACCTCTTGTAAGATAAAAGGTGGTAAAGGCCACACCCCAGGGAAACTCCATTTACACTGGATCAGGGATATGACCTCAGTAAGAGTGTTAAACAATCCCACCCTAATCCTCTTTAAAATTACAATCACAAAATGGAGGACAACCACACAGTACTGGGAATCACAGCCAAGCCAAATTGATACACACATTTTTGGGGGGACATAATTCAATCCATGACAATTACCTATAGGAAAGAGAGGTTAAATAGGTTGGAGGGAATACAAATAAAAGCTAGACTGCTTTAAACACATCTTGTTTTGCAGATTTTTTTTTGTAACTATATAAATAATTTACACAATTAGGAAACAAAGTTAAATTTAAAACAGAATTTCCCAAAATTAAATGTAAAATTAATCAAATGAGCCTAACTGTGCAATCAATTAATGGTTTAACCAGGGAGGAACGATTCTAAAAGTGACTTCAAAGCATAGTAATTTGATTGTATATTCTTAATGGGATTTATCCTTAGGATGGTAATAACTGAAAGGGAAAAAAACAAACAAACCTGAAACTGTCTTGTCTCTTTATTGCTGGTGGTAGTAATGGAATTATTTTTATCCTGAGATTGTTGTGTGTAGTATTGTGAGATAAAGGAAATCAGCAATTTGTTTACATCATTAAAAACTAAGATTTTTGACATGGTTCAAAAAAGATACAGTTCATCCCCACTAGGATAGCTAAGATTAAAAAATAAAATAAAATGGAAAATAACAAGAGTTGGAGGGGATATGGAGAAATCAGAACCCTCATCCATTGCTGGAGGGAATGCTAAAGGGTATAGCCACAGTGGAAAACATTGTAGTGGTTCCTCAAAAAAATAGGGGTAGAGCTGCCATGTCACTCAGTAATTCTACTCTTACTTAGGTATATACCCTAAGGATCTAATAGAAGTGACACAAACAGATACATGCACACTTATGTTCACTGCAGCACTATTCACAATAGCAAAAAGATGGAACCAACCTAAATGCCTGTCAAAGGATGAAGGGATAAGTAAAATGTGGTACATACATACAATGAACTACTACTCAGCGATAAAGAAAAATGAGTTCCCAAAACATCTTGGAACATGGATGAGCCTGGAGGACATTATGTTGAGCAAAATAAGTCAATCACAAAAAAACAAATATTGTATGTTCTCACTTTTATGAAATGACATGAACAGGTAAATATACAGAAACTAATGTTCATTAGTAGTTACAGGGCGGGGGGATTCACTCTCTAGATAGTAAACACTTGTTATTTTTGGTGATGGGAAAGGTAACACCAAATGAGGGTGAAGTGTGCACAGCTTGATGAAGGTAAGTGTCACTAAGATGTACACAAGAAAAAATGATCTTTTGTTAACTGCAATGGCATACATAACTTTTGAAACAACAGCAAGAACAACCCAAAAATATATGTGTAGGTATGTAAGTACACATGTATGTAGGCATACACGTGTATAGGTATGTATATACGTGTGTGTATGTTGTTGTTAAGTGCCGTCAAGTCGGTTCCAATTCATAGTGACCCTATGTACAACAGAAGGAACACTGCCCAGTCCTGTGCCATCCTCACAATTGTTGTAATGCTTGAGCCCACTGTTGCAGCCACTGTGTCAATACATCTCGCCAAGGGTCTTCCTCTTCTTCGCTGACCCTCTACTCTACCAAACATAATGTCCTTCTCCAGAGACTGATCCCTCCTGATAACATGTCCAAAGTATGTGAGATGTAGTCTTGCCATCCTTGCTTCTAAGGAGCATTCTGGTTGTACTTCTTCCAAGACAGATTTGTTCGTTCTTCTAGCAGTCCAAGGTATATTCAATACTCTTTGCTAACACCACAATTCAAAGGCGTGAATTCCTCTTCGGTCTTCCTTATTCATTGTCCAGCTTTTCTCACATGCATATGAGGTGACTGAAAACATCATGGCTTCGGTCAGGCACACCTTAGTCTTCCAGGTGACATCTTTGCTTTTCAACACTTTAAAGAGATCTCTTGCAGCAGATTTGCCCAATGCAATGCATCTTTTGATTTCTTGACTGCTGCTTCCACGAGTATTGATTGTGGATCCAAGTAAAATGAAATCCTCCACAACTTCAATCTTTTCTCTGTTTATCATGATGTTGCTTTTTGATCCAGTTGTGAGAATTTTTGTTTTCTTTATGTTGAGGTTTAATCCACACTGAAGGCTGTGGTCTTTGATCTTCATTAGTAAGTGCTTCAAGTCCTCTTTACTTTCAGCAAGCAAGGTTGTGTCATCTGTGTAATACAGATTGTTAAAGAGTCTTCCTACAATCCTGATGCCACATTCTTCTTTACATAGTCTAGCTTCTTGGATTATCTGCTCAGCATACAGACTGAATAAGTATGGTGAAAAGATACAACCCTGATGCACACTTTTCCTGACTTTAAACCACGCAGTATACACGGGTATGTGACTGTATGTACAAATACTCATATATATAATAAAGTACACAGGGGGCAGAGTTATGGATACTTCTTAGACATAACCAAATACCTCATGGGATTGGTTTTCTGGGTTTGAAGGATTAGGACATCTCAGTCAATTGGCATAACATAGTTCATGTCTATAGTTTATGTTCTATATCCTAGTTTGGTGAGTAGTGCCTGAGGTCTTAAAAACTTGCAAGCGGACATCTAAGATACAAATATTGGTCTCTACCCGCCCAAAGCAAAAAGAGGAAAGAAAACCAAAGATTCAAAGAAGAAACTAGCCTACAAGACCAACAGTCTAAAAATGGCCTATCTACCCTGAGACTAGAAGAACTAGATGGTGCCTAGCTACCACTACCAATCAATCTAACCAGGGCAACAATAGATGGATCCTGATAGAATGGGAGAGAAATGTGAATAGAGCCTCAAATTCTTAAAAAAAAAAAAAACCAGACTTACTGGACTGGTTGAGACTGGAGGATTCCCTGAGACTATCACCATGAGATACTCTTTAAACCTTAAACGGAAACTG